AGCAGGGCGATCCTCTTGGTCCGTTGCTGTTTTGCCTCGCCTCCAACAAGCTGTCGAAAAGTCTCCAGTCCGATCTCAACGCATGGTATCTGGACGATGGGACGGCTGGAGGAGACCCAGAAGTGGTTCTGGAGGATTTTATTAGAGTTTGTGATGATGCGCCAAAAATTGGTTTAGAGATTAACTTTGCAAAGTGCGAGTTGTATATTTATGGCGGGACTGAAGCGGAGCAGCAAGACATCTATGACCGATTTACCGTCGTCGCACCTGGAATTCAAAGGATGACTCCAGAGACGCTGGAACTGCTTGGTGCTCCTCTTACGGACTGGTCAATCGGCCGCTGCTTGGACGGCAAAATTGACCAAATCAAAAAACTGACAGACTCACTGAGCGTCTTGCCGGCGCAGCAGGCGCTATTCCTCCTTAGAAACAGTCTATCGCTCCCAAGGCTTATGTATACGCTAAGAGCGGCCCCTTGCAACAAATATCCGGAGAAGCTAAAAGATTTCGACCACGTGATTAGGTCGAAAGCGGAAGAGATTACGAATGTTAATATGGATGAATGCACATACGGGCAAGCTACTCTGCCGGTCCAGTGTGGGGGCTTGGGACTGCCTAAAGCCGAAGAAATCGCAACGCCGGCCTATCTCTCCTCGCTATATTCGACCGACAAATTAGTACGCACTATTGTGCCTGAAGATTGCCCCGATGATCGGTCTGACGTTGAGTTATACTGGCAGGAACGTACAGGAAAGGGTGCACCTGCGTTAGAAGACCGGAGTAACCAACGCTTGTGGTCGGATATGCTGACTGCCGGGAAACTGGACGCCTTAATGGAGAGTGCCAACGTTATTGCATCTGCTCGTCTGTTGGCTGTCTCCACTAAGAATGCCAGTGCCTGGTTGCTTGCGCTACCGGTTGCTAGCCTTGGCACATTGCTGGACGATGCCGGTCTGCGGATCGCTGTTTCTTTGCGGATGGGTGCACCAGTATGCAAGGAGCATAAATGCCGTTGTGGGGAAATGGTTGACGCGTTTGGCTTACATGGCCTGTCGTGCATAAGAAGTCAAGGAAGGTTCAGGCGGCACGCCAGTCTGAACAGTGTAATCCAACGGAGTCTGGGTTCAGCAAAGGTGCCGACAATCTTGGAACCGCCCGGACTGAGCAGATTAGATGGGAAACGGCCGGATGGCTTATCACTCTTTCCTTGGAAAATGGCCTTCCTCTGATTTGGGATGTGACGGTTGTTGACACGTTCGCTACGTCGTATGTAGCCAGTTCATCAGAAGCCGCGGGATCTGCAGCTGATGACGCGGAAACACGAAAAAGAAACCTTTACTCGGAACTGACTGATCGACACTTTTTCGAACCAATCGCCCTCGAAACGATGGGAAGTTGCGGCGGTAGTACCCGTCATTTCATCAGCGAAGTTGGCCGACGCATTAAAGAGCAAACAGGAGAAGCGCGCGCCACCGAATTTTTGTGGCAACGTCTAAGTGTGGAAATTCAGCGCGGGAACGCTGCTTCTGTTCTGGGAACGGTTGGGTGTTCTAAACAGCTTGAAGAATTGTTCTTTTTGTTCTAAATTGGTTTACCAAGTTCAAGTGTAAATGGCTTTTAGCTTGTACAATTTGTCAATAAAGTAATGTATTTGGCTGTGGAATAAGTACATCTTTACTATGATAGGAAAAATTGTGTAAATTCTGTATACCGCCAAATAAGACTCATTGGAAACACTTATAGAGAGGTGCACCATAGATAATTTACACGTAATACAGAGCGTTACTGCTCCGACAACTATGATATGACACAGTACAGTAAATACAGACATTCGTCTGTTCACAACCATCACCTGAGATTGTCCCATGAGTCCGTGAGGTAAATGGCTACTTCACGCGTATTCTGACCGGTATCTGTTACAGAGTTGCTATGCCTATCACTGCTTGTATATGATGTACCCATACATTATATCCAAAAATCTCTATGATTTGTATGTATATACATTTATTTGCATAACAAAAAATTGTGTTTAAAAATTGTGGCTTGGTGCATTTACATAAGACAATAATTAAATTTCTTAAAACAGCCGCCAAATGCACGTACAAATTACTATATATAGTAGTTTTGCACAGACTCCAGCTGCCAATGTGAACGTATCCAAAAATAGCCGGACGGTTCCGAAGTAAATTCTTGCAACTCAATTCCATCACTCCTCTTTTGATTTAATTTATACGTTTTCAAATATACAAGACATTCTAATCTTGTAGTTTTCTTAATCATGATTCCGTATGGTAAGAGCGCTAGCGCCACCGACATTTGTATATTATTGCTCACACATGCCGAACCTTCCGGCATGACGGATCGGCACGTTTGAGTTATCTAATTGTAGTAAGTGCGTCATTCAGACTCATGTTTTCAGAGGTAAGACTGCGCTTGTAGATTGGATGTATGAAAGTGAGGCATACAGTCAAAACATGCCCGCTTTAAGGCAAATTTTAAATCTAGTCGCGACTAGACTTACGATTCGGCATCGTTGACTCATCCATGCAGCCTGCAGCAGTTTTAAATGGCGTACGCAGTTTCATCTCTGGAATATCTGAACTAGGACTTGCTAAAACTAGGTCTTGTTAAAAATAACTTCTACCATTATTGCAAACCGTCATTAATAAGTTAGAACACTAGCGGAGCGACTTCTTGTTAGGACCATAATAAAGTTTGAAACCAATCTAATTAAGAAAATTAATTAATTTCAGTACTAAGTACTGTACTAGTTATAAATAATTCATCATGTAGATTTGTTGGCTACTGTGAAGTGATCAACAAATCTACATAGTACTACTTTTTGCGTAGTAGAGTGCAAGAAGTTAGTGACCTTTGCTTGCATGCAAATTAATTAAGTACTCTGTACTCGTAGCAAAATTTTCAGTTTTTGCGTTCCTTATACAGTGCTGCCCGTAACGTATGATACGTATAATTTGCCGTAAACGCTTATATATCGCAGTCTGTTGCTTCGTTATCGCGTTATTAAATGCTTTTCCCTATACATCTTCCTTATTACTAATAGATTTGGTGCCTTAACTGAATCTGGGTCTGAGTCTGACCAATAAAACTCTGAGTCTGACAACTAAAAGTCAGTCTGACTACATTTTAATTTTATGCTATTCTTACGTTTTCTTATTTTATTTCTTATATTCTATATTTTTCTTATGTTATATCTTATGCTATCGTGTGTTATTCTTGAGTTTTCTTATGTTACTCTTATTTCTTACGTAGCCATAAACAAATTTTTATTATTTATACCTTGGGTCAATGCGTACATGTCTCGGGGCCCGGGGTACCATGTGTGACTCTAAATTTTATACGAACGACTTCTAAGACCGCTCGCGAAGCAGCCGAACAAACGTTTTGTTGGATAGGGCAAGAAGTATAAGTCTATCGTTGATCGTTTCTGTTTTGTATAAACCCCACATAAAGTGCAGAAACACTAAAAGATTGCTGATTATCTCGAATTTCGAACCGGAAATGACCATATGACAAAGAACAAATCGTTTTCAGTGCAGTGCTTCAGCAATATGACGTTTTTTAGATGCGGGTTTGAAATGCTAAATGCTGTGTTCATGTTGCTTTCTTACGTAATAGAAAATTGTTAAACCTGTCTAGGCCACAGCCCCACCGGCCAGATCTTAAATCTGGATTAAGCCCATGTATCGCTAGTTTTTAGACGTATAAAACAGGCCATAAATGCCATTTCAGCATTAAGGGTTTTGGCTCGGTACATAGCATCAAATTCGTGTAAGCCCACGGCAACGGCCCGCGCTGAACCTTGGATTCGGATTCGGAGTTGGATTACTCAAACTTGGATTCGGATTACTCAAACCTGGATTCGGATTACTCAAACTTGGACTTGGATCCATAACTTGGATACATAAGTTGGATTACGTAAGTTGGATTGCTTAACTTGGATTACTTAACTTGGATTACTTAAGTAACTTGGACAACTTGGACTTCCTAAATTGGACTACTTAATTTAGGACGATTTCTCATAATGTTTTCGCGTGATTATTATTCCGTTATTCTCAGGTTATTCTAAGGTTATTCTTAGGTTTCTTAGGTTTATTAGGTTATGAGAAACCTTAAAACGTTCGAGCCGCAGAAATTATCACACTTTAAAACTAATAGCTAAACAGTATGGCGTCATTGGAGGCATTTTGGGTGATGACCTTCAGGGAGGAAAAGTTCATCCAGAAGAGATAGCATACAATGGTCTCTCCTGATCTATCATTCGCTTGTAGTTTTCATCACATTTGTCGGCTCGAAAATTGTTCGGTTTTCTATTACTTGAGAAACCTAAGAAACCTAAAAAAACCTAAGCAACTCCAGAAAACTAATATACCTAAGAAACCTTAGAAACCTTAAAAATAACCTGAGAATAATAGAAGGAAGAATAAGCACGAGAAAACAGTATAAGATAAGAAAATTATGCGTGGTAATGCTATGAGTGTACTGTGCACAGTCCCTTCCCATGTTAATTGGGGCAAATTCTTCATTTGATCTTATTTGCTGAGCGAAGCTCGCCTTGTACAAGCTTGTCCGGTAATTTCCTACAGGTTCGTAAAGGTACAGCTAGCGCGAAGTTTGCGCTTATAACGATGGCCACTTCACTACGTTTATCGAATTGCCTAAATGCGCTCTGCAGTCAGATTGTCACTTACTGCACCGACCATTTTCTAGCTACTTTCCGCGAGGCAGTTACTATTATTCTCCTAAATTATTTGGCGTGCAACAAGCCAGCAGCCAGCCAAATGCATGTTACGTGTTTAAACACTGTGGCGGGGCGCGCCGTAGTGTGAAGTTTGGCGTAACACGCAAATTTGTGTAATTCGCTGTACAGATTCGTCAGAAATTACCGGACAAGCTTGTACATATTGAGAAATAAGCTATTTACTGGAAAACGTAATCCAAGCCCCAAGTTAAATAGTCTAATTTAGGAAACCAAGTTGTTTAAATTAAATAATCCAAGTTAAGTAATCCAGATTTAATCCAACTGCGAATCCAAGTCCAAGTTTGAGTTATCCGACTCCAAGTTTAAGTAATCCAACTCCGAATCCAAGTCCAAGTTTGAGTAATCCAAGTCCAAGTTTAAGTAATCCAACTCCGAATCCAAGTCCGAGCTTCAGCGCGGGCCCACGGCAACTTTCGATGTCGCGCACTCTTAGACACTTTTTTACATTGACTTCTGTACTTGTAGCCAAACGATTGGTTAACTTAGGCGTGAAATCTGTTTGCGCGCGCAACATCCGGTTGGAAAGTTATGGTTAAACCAGAATTTCAAAAAGTTTAAATGCATTCAGGTGTACCAAAAGTCTCGTTTATGGACCGATCTCCTTCAAATATTGCACTTAAATGCACATACTTAACCATGAAAATCGTTCTTACACCGATCCACTTATCTGGCATGTTTTTTTAAATTTTAAAATTCATTTTAAAATTCGAAAAAAATCGTGGAAGTCTGGTCGGTGTAAAAACGATCTTCATTGTTATGTATATTTACGTGCAATTTTTGAAGGAGATCGGTCCATAATGAGACTGTTGGACCGCTGGTACACCTGAATGCATTTAAACTTTTTGGAACTTTGTTACCCAGATAACTCCGCAACCGGATGTTGCGCGGAAAAACGGACTTCACACCTACGTATACAAATGTTTTGGCTACAAAATATCATAAAGCAATGCAAAAAAGTGTTTGAAAGTGCGCGACAACGAAAGTTCCCGTGGATGTACACGTATTTGGTGCTTTGTACCGGGCCAAATCCCTTAAAGCGGTGCTGCCCGATCCAGTATGCTGCTAAAAATAATCAGACAAACGTGGGATGATGGGATGCTGTTTCATAGTAGTAGTATATAAGAAACATACTGTTGAGTTTTAAGCTATCTCAAATGTACTGCTGCTGTTAATATATCAGACATGCGATTACCGGCCAGTTAGGGACTGCAAATTGTCCAGTAGCACCGTATTCTAAATGGATGAATATACGAGTATATAATTGTACCATTATGATTTTATCATGTAAAGTTGATCTATTCCAACCAGTATTTGAAGATGCAGTTCACAGCTAATGCGAACCATAATGCAAATATCTACTTTTTTTAAGCAACGGGAAACTATAAACAATCATCAAGGAAACGAATTTAGTCAAGCGAAATTACTTACATAATGCGAATCTTCCGGGAACGACATATGCGGTGTCCCGTTGCAGATTTTTCCACAGCGTTGTATCTGCAGGGTCGTTACGAGCTCTTCGTAATGAGAATGCATAAATTTTGTATCAGCACAACAAAAACTATTCGGAAAAGCTAAAAATGTAGTAAATATATAATACGTCAGTGATCGAGGGTATGCGATGCGACGTTGCGCCCATTCTCGCAGCGGAAGCGGCCGGGCTACTCGAGCGGGTTAATGATGATGATGCGAGTCACGGGATCCGGTTGGGTGATGTTTGTATCAGAAAATGTCGTTGACAATGGTAGGCAGGATATCGGAGTGATTTTCGCTACACCATCTTCCACGCAGTTGTCACAGTCTTCGGCTATCTCCTTAATTTTCTCTCCTTTCGCCATTTCCTTCCGTTTCTGTTCTTCTTCGTGTTTTTCGGCGGCATCATCGATGCGTTTTTCTTTGCGCAGCTGTAGCAAAATGCGAATCATTTCACCATAATTCCACAGTAAATATGCCGTCAGGAACAATAGCAGTCCGGGGAGTTGTAAGCGTTCCGGTAGGAAAAACGCAACAACGGGAAAGGGCAGAATCACACCGGCAATGTTCTGACGCAGGAGTATGATAGTGGCGCATTGTAGGTTGGCCCATAACGAGCACATGCAGAAGGGTTTTCGGATTATTTGTGCACTTTTCTGTGCATAGTCTCTCTTTTTGTCTGAGGCCAGCAGCGCTGCCTGTTGTTGGGCGCAGCATGCCTGGGACTCGTCAGAGTCGACCTCGCCCAGGGAACAACCTACGTACTTGTCATTTTCCGACGGTTTAAAAGGAGTCTTTTCGATGAAATCTTGATTAGTGTGTTTGCAGTAGCAAGTACCAACACCACCGTCGTCCATGGAACCATCTCGATTTTCCGGGCCCATCTCACCACTTTCCACAGCGTCATAGTAATGGATATGGCTAAGAAAAATAACATCCGCTTACAGCTAATTAAAATTTTAGTGACCTGGACTTTGCTGGACTGGACAGCTACTACTCACCGGCTAATGGTAAGCGTTAATGTCCGTGTATTTTTGTGTTTTCAGTCTCATGCAAAAAACTTTTTTGTTAAAAAGTTGCGTAGGTAACAAAATTTTAATCGTGACCCGACGCACACCATAAAAAGTGGTTTTTTAGCGGTATTTTTACTGTACACAGCGCAAGTACAAGTATGTGCAAGCTCAAGTACAAGTATGAGTACAACTGCATGTATAATATTCTGTGTACAATTTGTACGTATCTATATTGTGCGTGTATCGCACACGTGGCTGTAGGCTCTGTAAAGTGAGTGTAAACCGAGCTTTGGCTTTGAATATACAACATAATACAACTGCGGGTGTGCGTGCTACTTTACAGTAGGCAATGACATTACAAAAATGTCATTTAGTTCCTGCGTGATGATTACTTAATTAATACTATTACAGCGTACGAGTACAGTTACCCTTATTACTTACGTTACGCTCTCCATCCGACTTCTTCTTTGGTGAAAAATTGACTTGATAACGGCAGACACGACAGTATAGAGGAAGTTCAGGACGGTAAGCACAAGGATGACCCCGACGAGTACCAGAATAACCGCTATAACCACGCCTATGATTAAGGCCTCCATCGTCAGCAGTAAAGTAACTGGTGCATCGCTCAGCACGACCAGTATTCCGGTCCACACCATAGATATCCAATGCACCAGGGGAGACAACGATGAGGCGAACCCCATCAGAAGGATGGATTTGCTAGAAGTGGAGTCCCGCAGTTCATCGTACGCAAGATCCGTCCAATACGACATCATCGCTAGGTTTTGCGCGAAACCCTGTCATAATCAGAGGTCCGCCTGAATTTCATCTCAGAAATGTTCCTGCCAATTATCTTTAATATTATTAAACTCATTATCCATTGCTGAGAATTTGCTTTGCAAGTGTTACCTCAGCCACTATAATGACATCGCATGATAATTCTTAATTGTAAGACTACTTGTGCAAACAGTTTGCATTTGCATTGAGTTCCCTCAGTTTATGCTAAACATAAGAGTGTTATAAAACAGCCCAGATTTTTGTTATTAAATTAAAATCTATAGAAGTTCGGTACTTCTTGGTTTATCCATTTTGTTTCTTCGAAATTTGTAAGGGAAGTTTCTTGAACAAGATCGAAGTCTTTCTGGACGCTTCGTTTTTAAGGACATTTTAACGGGGTTATGATCTCGTACAACTAAACTGGGAAACTTATTTAGAAATTCGAATTGGTATATGTATAATCAACGTTGGCTTCGGTTGTGATTAGGGAGACACTAAAATCTGGCACCGGTATTGCTTACTGTTTGCGGACTGGGTCTGCACTGTTCCACCGTCCGATTGACCCTGGTCCAGTACGTCCAGTTTGTTGGTGCGCCTTCTGTCCCGCTTGACCCACTGCTTGTCAGCGCATCGCTCACTGTACTAACTAGGTAGTCAATTTGTGGAAACATCATGAACAAGGGGCGTCGCACATTCCCATCAACAATCGCGCAAGCAAAGAGGAACACGAACATACTGTACTGTAGCAAGTGTCCACGCCGTGCGCGCCGTTCTTTTATAGGCATATCCTTCTCCATGGGGTGCGGCGATCCGCTTAGAACTACCGGGTGTGCAGCGAGCTTGGTTCCGTCCCTCCATCCAATAGCACTTAAAAGCATAACAAAAAGAAAAACTTCAGCATTTTCTCTTTACATGTACTGTATTGTTCTGTTTGTACTTATAAGTTGCTGCAGTTGCAAGTGTTCGGCACTTCATTTTGTTTACGCTGATATAATTTAAATGCCGTTGTCGCTGGTTGAAGGACGGTGGCGCGATGTTTTTAGCAACAGCTCATAGGTCCAGATCTACTTGACGCATTACGCACTTAAAATTCTATGTACCCGAATTTCTTTCGTAACCACGTCGAATAACACTCCGTCATCCACACTCCCCAGATGCGGCCAGTGCAGTGTACACCCAGCAGACAAATAAACAGTACACTGCAGGGAAACACGGCATCCTCACCGGCGAATCTGATAACTACTGCGACCAATATCGACGCCGCCGTAACAACAGGCAGAGCGCAGACGATGCACCACACCCAGACAAAGCATAACGTATTGACGACCGCCAAGACCAAGTGCAGCAGCACGAAAATGATCCGTGAAGCGTTGGGGTCTTTATAATCCGCCCAGTAATACTGCCGGTTCTTATCGTAGCGGAAGAACGCCGTGATGCGTTGGCAGTAGGGGAGATGCTGTTTGAATTGTGGGAAATTCCAGCGACGGTTAACGAAAAGAGACAAACCGACGGATACGCTCACGATGGCCGTTGTGCAGACTGCAGCGAAGGTGGCCACGTAGCCGACAACGGCACGCCCTGTATTGTTTGTTACGGCCACGTTTTCGTTACCCGTTGCGATTACTGGAGGAGTCGGTTTCCAGCTGGCAACCATGCTGTCCCAGAAGCAGCCGTTTTGTCCCTAACCAATCATTAATATTTACAATTCGTGCCAGCGGCTTTCCTCGTAAATAAAATGTATGTACTATCATTACTATGTATATCTATACAATTGTGCAGTGTGATGCTGATGCTTTTAATTCGGTAGCAGCTCATGCGTAATCAAAAAAATCATTAAATAGACAGATCACCGATGTGTGTACAGTACATCACCAGGTACGAAAATACGTTATAAGATGTGTCTACATCAAAAATACAGTATTACATATGTGTTGTACATCACCAGATCTACTGCAATTTTCTTTACTTTTGCGATCTACTACCAATTTTGCTGTTTGTAATAGTTTTAATATCCGTTTAAGGTTTGGCTTAAACTATCAGTGAATGCAGCAGCATTAAGCTCGACGAAACTAAAAATTTTTCGGAAGAATAATTATAATAAAACATTTAATGCGAACTTGGGTAATCCTCCCCTGCAAAGAGCTGTTAGAAGTTACAACACTTACGTTCAGAACGCTTAAAAGGACATTGTCCGAAGTAGTCAACCGGCTGGGATCGAGGCGCGTTGCTTTCCATTCTGGATAAATTCGCGTCCCGAGTTTAACGGAGATGTGGCAGCTAAACCAGAGAATAACGAGGGCTTCCACTATAATTTCCTGGTACGCCCAAGCACGGTTCTTATCCAAGCACTGCCTGAACATCTTCCGATATTTCCTCATTGTGGAGGTTTAACGAATCTTGGAGAACGTTCTCAGAATACAGTAAACAGAGGGGTCTAATTTAGATTAGAGCTGGCTCTCTGATGTGTTGCAATATTGCGCACCAGCGTGTTGTAACTGCAGTGTTTAACCTTTACGCCTGAGCCTGTTTGTCAGATGAAGAACAGCAGAATATGCAGGCAACATGGGATGTAAAGCGGCAAGCCCACGGTTTACTCTCGTAAATCTGGTAAAATCAATATTGACGTGACAGATGCGCCATCAGTTAAGACTACCCATGAGTACGTACTCTTTAAGGTGGATATACTTTACAGCCACCATTTTACCACTCTTAATAATTATGACATGTGCAAATAATACTCATTCGTCTGTTCGTAGTCACAATCATCCCCTGAGATCGCATACGGTGCGGTAAACAACTTACTGTACGTATCGTGAGCTGTTCGTATCGTAATCTGTTACAGAGTTATATTATCTGTCTGTTATGGAATTGTGTATCTATCAGTAGGTTCTGTAATAAGCACGATATATTCAGGCATTTTAGGCTGAAATCTCATTTGCACGGTATAGGATGATAAAACTTTTGGTATGAGTTGAAGTGTTTTCGCAGAATTTTCGTTTTGGGATTATGTGGTTTTTATGTCAAATCTTTAGTGAACTCTGCTGATAGCCATAGGTTCTTACCAGTGTTATGGAGGCCGCCCACTAAGGATTTTCTGACTGGTTCGAATTTCCTGCCGGAAATGATTGCAAGGATAGAACCCGAGTATCGTGGGTTTCATCATGTAATGCAAGCGTTGAATCGCAACCCCGTGAATGCTGGTTCTGAGTGTTTGAATATCGCGTTAAACTTGGTAGCGTGGTATCTAATAAAGTGTTATAGCTGTAGAATTGTCTATGCAGTGACCCAGCTTTTATATATTTACAGCATTTATTATAACGATGGAAATCTAGACTCAGAAGCATAAATAAACAAACATCCTGTATCGTTAGCGACTGTATAACGGACTTTCGATTACGAGTAAAAGCGAACAAACCTTCCAACTGCACCGTTAGGTGAATTACAGTGAATAATAAAACCGAAAATGAGTAGTGAAAACGTTGGATTATTCCAAAAAAGGTTAAACTTCTTATAACTATAAAGAACGTACACTACATCCTGTAGCGCAAATTCGCCTGTTTGGCTCACAAATCAGACGCCATAGTGACGATACTTACCATTACAATGCCACACGAAAATAAATCTGCGAATCATCTCAGCGAATTGTCGTACATTTACGGTTAAAGCATATGTCTGATAATTTAATTTTACCGAGTTTACAGTGCGTTCCTATCGATAGTAATAACAATCCGGTCTTTTTCCCATTCCCACAGCTCACACGGACTTTGGACCGCCTTCACGGCTCCTTTTGGCAGGCCAATCGTCTCCACACTCAACTGCTTTCCACTGCCCCCGTGACCACTGATATGCAGAGTGATCTTCTTCCCAGCACCGTCGGTACTGGGCTGGTATGTCACATCCAGTGTATTTTCTTCCACCGGCATCTTCGTCTCCTTAATCAAATGCACAAAGATCCACAGGAGATAGATAGTCAGCAGAACCAACATGCCCGGTAACTGGAGCTTTTCTCCCATGAAAAACTGCGTAGCTGGAAAGGAAGCCAGACCCAGCACATCATTTGGCGCATAAACACTAGGACATGGCGTGCAACGCTGCAGCGCTGACAGGAAGGCTGACTGCCGGCGGGAACGAGTGGAAGGGAACCTTGACCTTTATTTTCCGCATCGCTTTTGATTTCCGGAGGTTGGCTTATGGCGGTATATGGCGGCGGATCGCCAGTCGTACCGTGCTCCTGACTATACCCCTTTTCGGTTTCCCAGAATCTGGAATTCAAAAAAAGACTTGGGTCTTTATTTGAAGATACCACTGGACCGCTGGGTGTTGTAGTAAATTCACGGTTTTTGCTGATACAGTCCATTTCTTTAACGCTTAAGGTTAAGGGCGTATTTCATAAATGCAGCGGCTGAAGTACAGCAGCATATATTCATTGGCATAATTTTATTATTATATTCTATTAGAAAATTAAATGCTCCGGCTTCGTCTTAGCGCTTATTCGACGAACAAAATATGCTGCTATTTTTTAACCCAGTCCCAGTGCATACGATTTACGCGTGTATAGATGTGTTACTTGTTGCGAAACTTGAACGATTTTATGAATAACTTTTAAACCGCGACCCGACTGCCTACAGAGTAGCTTGTATTTTCCAGTTTTTCATAATAGCGTATCTGTAGCACGGTTACAGCACGGTAAACTGCTACAGCCACCGCTGAGTACCGCTGCGGTAAAAGTTTCCTCCCATTATTTTATACCTGGTTGCCAGGAGCAGTTCGATGTATTTAGGACCATAGAAGAGCATCCAACCAACCACACCAAATACGGAGAGCACCATGGCGAGTAACGGAGTCATGCTGCCGATCATAATGAACACGGTCCAGATTTGGAACACCAAGGACGCTCCCCAACTCGATGATGCCGGATAATTTACGAGAAGAATGCCCCGTTTCCGGGCAAAGGGCAATAAGGGCATGTCCTCCCAGTACGACCACATGGCACCGCTATAGCCTAAACCCTGCACCCAAAAGTTGTTGAGCTAGTTTAACATTCCAAGGGACCGAATGCCGGCTTACAGTGGCAGTAATACCCGTAGCGGAGCAGGCGCTACCATTTCCACTTATCCAGTATGCCCAGGTGGGCAGACCCAGTTCGCCGTGGCCGCAAAGGTGTGCGATCCCACGAAGACGTGATATATGTTCCAAGCTACCGCGATGCAGCTAATGAACATCCGGACAACCGCTGCATACGACGTTTCATCGGTGCTGGCGGTGGCCGGTCGAAAATTTCCCATCGGGAATCAAGAGGCTGGTTTCCGGTATTGAAGTCTTCGTAAACGATTGATATGAGCTTCTCTTTCTGCTGAGTGAGTTTTAGTGAAGCGCAAATTTATTTTAACCGAAGTTCCGCATACCATCTTTACAATGCACTTATACCTTCGGCAAATTGTGCGACCATCGCCGCACCACCGTACAAACAGTACGGTACATACGAGTAGATACAGTAAGTGCCGCCAACTAACTCTGTGTATCAGACTTCAATATCTCGAGTTTTTACATTTCATCATCTATGGTTACCTGTTTTGCTGGCTGTCCCATGAAAATGCCTCGGTGGAAGTTTTGATGATTATCTATGCGGATCTAAGCTTTTTTACTCAGTTTTAATTTTCAGAAATAAAAAATAATGTGATGGTGCGACCCAGGCAATGGCGGTATGCGGAAGTTCGGAACCAAGTATGTGGAACATTTACGGAATTATTTTGTTTGAATTTAGGAAGCTACGAATTTAAGCAGCGATTGCACAGCTATTCTAATTCCTTAGTGTTTTTTAGATTATTTTAGGAATTGGAACATAATAAATATTTGGGCTGGTGTAAGTGATCAAAGCAACAGGAAGACAATGAAGGTCTGGTGGTCATTTGGTTACTCGGATCGATTGCCCGTTAATGTTTACGTGTTACCTGATTTTTCTGCATAACCAGTCGGAGTATGTCTGATCCATCCACAATCCCCAAATTCTTCCGGTACAGTGCAAGGCTAAGAAGCAGGTTAGAAAAACACAGCACGGGTACACAGCCTGCACGCCCATGACACCGATCGACACCGCAGCCACCACGCCCATGGCAGAAACCACTACCAGCACATAAGCAACTGTCCACAACAGCAAAATACCGATGGAGACGATCCAACCCATCAGCATAACCAACAGGACCAGCATGAACTGAGCACGCCAGATGCTTGGCCAACAAGTACTGGCATGTGGCTGGAGCCATTTGGCGTAACCGAGGAGGGACAAGTAATTCAAGCTACCGTGCCAAAAAGGTATAACGTCATGTTTTGGGTTCGGAGGTGGTTTCCAATGGAGATTAAACAGTAGACACACGGCCACCGATACTCCCAAAAGGGCGGTGGCGCACACGGTGGCTATGGCGCCGGCGTACGCGAACAGTGAGTAGGGCGAGTGCGTCGAATTTAAGCCGATTGATGTTGTATGGGAACCGGCTGCGTTGAGGGCCGAGGTTTCCATCCATATGGCAACAATATCATCCCACGCGCATCCGCTCATTTTCTGAACACAGCACATCACGAAATTTTTCTTTATTATTTTTTAAAAAATCGCGGAACAGAGGCGGTTATAAATGTATTTTTGTTAGCTACAATTAGGACTCTAAAATGGGTTTATCAGTTATTTTAATATATAAGCGTCTAGCCAAGTTTGACTTCTGTTACTAAAGAAAAAATCAAGAGGATTTATTCAGCATCAATTCCAAACTTATATCACTTCTTTTACTTGTAGTATTGGAAACTTATAAAATAGAATGAATGGTAGAACAGTGCTGTCAGTGCCTGACAAATACGGTTGGTTAGAATAGTGCCTTACGATTCCGATTAGATCCAATAGCCAATCCAAACCGGCATGCACGCTAGGATCGACACGACTCGTTTGCCAATCCGGAAGGACTCGCAAGCCGAATTTGAACGAAATCTGGATGGCGAACCACAGCACCACGATGGCTTCCATCAGAATCTCTTGGTACGCCCAAGTACCAATCTTAAAATGGGCCAACGGAAAGCCTTTCGTTGCGGCTTCCATTATGTCGTTAGTTCTGACCTAGTATTTATTAACACGCCACAATACTAACTTCGCGAACAGAAACAACCTTATCAAAGAAATTCAAACTGGTTTAATCCAACATGTCAGAAACCCGCTGTAGGTATACTTACCAGATGCGGTATGTTTTACGGGCTCTAAATTGTAACGCTAATCGATCACACTGACAGCATTTATCCGTTGAGCCGGATCAATGCTTAACAGCATTAGCAGAAATAAGACGACGAACTTGCATCTTCGAGGTTAGCACTAGATTTCGTTAACTTAATTTAACCTGTTTTCCAACTGGCTGTTTTCAGCTTGCGTAAGTGAGAGCCGCTTTCTCATGTACTCGCGCTTTTTCTTTCCAGGCTCGACGTTATAAATACCTATCAGGATGTAAGCAGCAGGAATGCCGTTCCCAGCACTATTACGCACCCAGAATCGATGGTTCAGAAGCAGTTGTGGCTTGGGGTGAAGTATGTAACTAGTACGACTGGAAACACCAGGTGGAAAAGAATATAGCTCATATTTTTCCATTTTCCCATGTAGTTGCAGCAAAGTATGTACGTTTGGAAGCGCGGCGGAACACACTGCTTTGCTGTTATGCTAATCATCAATCCTACTACGCATTTGGAATTACCGGAAGAACAGATATAAATACTAGTCAACGGTGGGAACCGAGCCCGTGCCAGCTGCGCTCCATAGCGTCTAACCGCTGAACCACATCGACTACAATATTATTGTTTATGTTAAGATTCTATTTTCCGTTCAGTATCTCTAATGCAGCCTTGCGTGTCCTGCTAGGAACGCATAATTTAGAAAGTTGTTATTTCTTCTGTGGGACTGCCAAACCATTACACCGTCTGACCAAAATTCTATCGGGAAACTTACCGCCCACTTTGATTACACGATGAAACCGTTTTACTCATTCTTCAATAAAAATCGGCGTTCACGTCAGAAGCGTCACACTAACTTTCCAATGCACAAGCTTCGTATAAAACAGGATGATATGAATGCGTTTCTGGCAGAAATATATGGCTAAAAAAGAATATTGCCGTTAAATATGCTACTGTTTATTATTTTGTAACTGGTTCTTAATAACACATATATATTCGCGTAACACGTTTGAGTCTCTTTAGGGGTTCACATTAAATTTAAAAAATTGAAGGCTGTATGCCAACTGGCAAGCGTCTATTCATTAAGGCCGGAAGCACAAAAATTGATGCGTTTATTACAAAAAAAAATCAACGAGGACTTTCATAGCAGTGCAGCGGAAGTGTCTGTTTAATTTTTTGCTTATAGTGACGCTTTTATTTCAGGGTGGGTCTGTAGCGATGTCGCAGAATCCGACTTTTTAAAAATTTGCAGAACTATGCTGTGCTCAGCAATGAACCAGTCAGTTTTCGGTAGTTCGATCTCATTGTTAGACCAACAAATTCTAAAAAAAAATGCAACATGTACAAGCGAGAAGAAATGGTAATAGGAGAAATGTAACAGCAGACCCGTTGGAGATAGGTAAACTGCATTATCGGTCGATAGCTGTGCCGGCTGGGCCTGTGCAGCGAACAATGTATGTATGTATTCGTACAACCATTAGTTTCCAGACATTACGGCAAAAAAGATGAGTATACACCCAGTTAAACAGCTGAAGCGCCCTCATTCAGCGCTGTACGCTGATCCTTTGGTTGGCAGTGCGGGCAATGCGGGCATTTTGTGGTTTTGGATGGCTTGTTGTTTGTGCCACACGCAGAATCTTTGATTGACTGTCTGCGTGGCGCTAACCGCGCTAGACCGCGCTTAAATTCTTCATCGTCCAGTCTCTCGCAATCTTGAAAGAAGGTCCAGAACACCCACACTAGATAACCAGTCATAACCATCAGTAGACCAGGAAGTTGTAATCGCTCCGCAAGGAGGAGACGCAGTACTGGCCACGGAAGGAACATCCAGCATGCTGCTCGTCGGAGGCTGATGGTGATCGAGCCGACGATGGTGATCGCTGAGTCGCACGCGCAGCTGAATTGTGATGCGTTACTCTCCGTATCTGTTCTCTTCATTTCCTTTTGCGCCTGTGTCCAGAGGCCCTCAGTGATCCTGAATCAAGAAAGGACGCGTTAAAATTAATTTATGTTGAATCAGAGTCGGTAGCTCGTCTATGGCTGATACGGGCTAGTAAACTAGGAAGCAAAAATTTTCTCTCGACGCAGCACGTACGTACAGTACTAACTAAGCCTCACCTAGGTTAACTGTTTTTCTGTGCGCAGTCGCTTGCTTTTCAGTAAGTGTACGATTCACAGTACGAGTAGGTTTTCTGTGAACCCATAACGCATCGGTGATTATACCTGCCGTCATTTTCATCCGCGTTGTCCAGACAGAACCAGCATGCCAAGGAGAACAATCCCACGCCAAGCGCAATTAGAGCACCTACTACCACACCTATCCATGGCAAAGCACTGGCGAAAACCACCGCTATACTCCAAAACCAAAATACTCCGCCTGTATACAACTCCCAGTTGTATGGTGTGAATCTGGTTAAAATTTCGAAGTGGCTGTTGTTGGTAGACGGGTATGGTTCGAACCAGTAGGAAGCCATAGCGCTTCCGGGGCTCAGAATCTGTAAACACTAATCCGGTTAGGGCAAGTAGGTACAAAAATAAAATTAAACGGTGGTATCTTGCCGCTTTACTAATGCCAGACCGGGATGGTATACGTAGCACAATGAACGTCAAAACGCCTACAGATACTCAAATATGCCTCACACAGAATCTCAGCAATGTACTGCGCGCGACATGCTGTTATCAGCGTAACGGGCCAGATTCCAGCGTAATCCATAATTAATAAAATTATTACGATCCTGATATGATACCCTCAGAAAGGATAAAACGGTTTCCCACGTATGTGTCAGTATATGTAAACTACATATCTCGAAATCTTCACACAACGTAAAGCGACTTAATTATCATCAGCAACTTTCTCACTGATCACCCACGAAAAAGCTGCAACCTGTATGTGAGGAGAGAAGCGGCTCATGTACAGCGACAAAAACTTTCAAAGGATTTCAACACTTTGCGCCGTGGTACTGTCTAAACAGATCTAACTAGGTAACCGAGGTTCGATTCCCCCATCGGTGCATTTTTAAGCCGTTTCTCGGCTTCCAGTGAGTGGATGGCGCCCTGCTTATCTGGTAGAAGAACCTGGTTGGATCACGGACCTATGGTATGAGACTGGTGCGTTAGCCTCCACATCCAGATGTGGACGGGAAGCCGCCTGGAAGCGAAAAACGGAAAAGGATAAAGGATGCGGTAATTGCAACCGAATGCGGGGGGAAATTTGATGCTGTTGATAAAGGATGCGGGCGGAAATTCGGGAACGAGTCTGTGTATAACAAGACATTTATCTACGAAAGCAGAAACTCGGTGAATTTCTGCCTTCCTGTGGACGCTCAAGTACTGGTACTGCTTTGGGCTATCTATCACAAAAGCTGCCTACGGGTTATCGATCACAAAATTGCTCACTCGGTTTATAGCGTTCTTTTTGAGTTTTAGTAGCTGCATTAACAAGAAGAAATAAATATTCGCTTCTGAATCATTACACGTACCGCTTCGTCATCCATACAGCATTCTGTACAGGGTGATGTGATCAGAGGGTGATTTCTCCCAAAGATAGAGTCAGTTCCGCAAAATAGCAATTCCCAGGTATAGTACAACACCGTCAGCGAGCCGGAAACGAACATACAAGGAAGAGCGGGCGGTGACTCATAATGCGCATCCTGCTTTGGCTCTTGGGAAACCGGTGAAGTTATGCTAGACTCCGCGGGATCTCCGGATTCCGAGGACTCGGCGAGCGAACTCACGCCGGATATAATCCTTGAAAACACGAAGCTGAAGCCCAACACATTTGTGGTGTCCTTGATTCTTAGAAAATTCTCTTTGTACTACTCGTTAATCGTTATTTCATGCCGTACTTATTAGTAGTAATATGCCTGTCTCGACCGGCTTTTAGATGTGGGACGCTGATAAGAGCGTCCCGGGATGACGTCCCGTTTTTCAAAAATAATTTAGAAAATTCTGAAAAAATTCCTAATGACCTAGAAAAATTCGTAAAAATAGGGTAAATATGTGTTAAATAGAGAAACGTGTTTGAACATGAAAGCTTGAATGCAACGGTGGTATTTATAGCCAAAATAGGAACTGACGGAAAGTTAATTACTAGCTGATGGACTTGTACAATCGTATATTATCGTTCCTTGAATGGGGGTATTCATCTTGGACCCCTTTGGAACTGGCTAAGGCTGGCTTTGAATGTACTGGTTATGAGGACTTAATTACGTGTAGTTATTGTCTTGGAACTATTAGTGCACGGAACATAAAGGGTACACCGGTTGCAACACATAAAATTTATTTTCCGGATTGTAAAATGTCGAGATCAGAAAGTGAAGTTACCAGCTGTAGTGACACCGAAGCGGACGCAGACGTTTATGATGGAGAGGCTAGTGAGGAGGAATTTGCTGGATTCGAGGTGTACAGCAAGGACATCATTACCAAGGTTTACTGCCCAAAAATGCAATCCTATGAAAGCCGCTTCGCTACTTTTGCTCGTTGGCCAAGCAGTCCACATCAACATCCACAAGAAATGGCTGCAGCGGGTTTTTACTTTATAAACTATTGTATACTGACACGCTGTTTTTACTGTGGCATGGGAAGAGATTGCTGGAGAGAAAATGAAGACCCTTGGGAGATTCATGCTGCCTTAAGACCGCAGTGTCCGTATTTGATGGAGCAGAAGGGGAAAGTTTTATAAATACGATTCAGCAGAAGAAACAGAACAAATATAGAAATGCATCTAAAGAAGGTTAGATTGGCAGTAAAAGAGTAAATACCGTATTACAACTAAGCTTTCGATATTGTAGATGAAGACGCGCTGCTGTGGCCAGACAACGTGGCCGAAGAAGAAAAAATTCTACAAGCTTTACAGTTCTATAGTTGGGAGCACGTGATGGAAGCCTTACGCCGGCGTCCGAGTGCGAGAATCATGGCCCAGTCGGAGCTGGGGTTTCCCTGGTCTGTTCCCTGGCTTGAACAGGGTTGCCGGGACAGCGAAAGGCGTGAAAGGTTATTGGCTTTATATAGTGGCCCTGCATTGCTGAACGGTAAATCAGTTTTGTGGTATTAACAGAAATGCGAGAATGAAGGGTAATAGCGAGGAACATCTGCGGGCAGTAAGAGAGCATTGGCGACGAATATTCCTACGTTCTCCAGCAGATCATCTGGCCGAAGTGAAAGACGAAAAGCTGTGTAAAATTTGTTACACAAATGTCATCACGCAGGTTCTATATCCATGTGGTCATTTTGTTGTTTGCAACTGTTGTGTGAAGGACTGTGATGGTTGCCCAATGTGTCGTTCCGTCATAAAAAAAATCTTGCCAGTGTATTTTTGTTAAAAAAAAGAACAAGCTGTGGCTTGCTACTGAAATTTTTTTTGTTTTATGTTAAGCTACCAGGGGATTGAACCCCAGACCTTATCCTATAAAATTGTTTAGTTTACGAGTAAGCCACAACATGTTCTGGTGAAAGTTGATTAAAGTTTTGCATCTATTTGATTACTTACTGGAAATCCACAACGCACTCTGCGCAAAAGGAACCGGCAACGACGGATTCGACCAATAGTTATTAAGAGCAGTTGCATTACTACCAGCGTTATGTATCAGCTTTCACGGAAGCTAGTCAAACATTCAAGTTTGTTACAGGACATACAAGGAACAAGCAGCATTGGACATGACCAAGATATGGTAACGTCTATTGCTGAAGTTCCGTGGTACACGTCCTCCTATATTTGCAAAGCCAATACTTTTAAGTTCCAATTCACATTGAGGTGTACATGGAACTGGTGGCTATGGAAATGACCAATTACAATTGAGGTAATTTCCATTACTACCAGCGCTACGTATCAACTCTCATAAAAGTCTGTCAAACATTCAAAAATACTGCAGGACGTACAAAGAACCAATAATAATGATGGATATGACCAACGTGCGGTAATGTCCATCATTATGGCTCCTGCTACAGACCGTCGACTTATTTATGAAGCCTATACCTTGAGTTCTGAATCGCATTGAGGTGAACATGGAGCTAGTCGCAATGGAAATGACCAATAGAAACTACGGTGATGTCCATTACTACCAGCGCAATGTACAACTCACACAAAAGTGTAACGGGAATTACGGATAGTAACAGATTAGATATTTGATCACATTCCTTTCAAAGCAGTTCCTGGTAACTGAACTGGTTTCGGTCCTGCTCAGTAGTCGTAGTAAGCTACATGGATTCGATCAATCCAGTTTAACTCAACCACGATTACAGAGCAATACCGTATATATGAACAAATAAACAAGTGAAAACTCTGCAGGGTCATAGTATGAACCCTGCTCAGGTCAGTAAAAAAGAAATATGGAGCCCAAAAGGTCACGACGCTGACGGTCCTGCTTAGTAATCGTAGTCAGTCCAAAGGATTTGGTCAATCCATTTTGAACTGATCTAAAATATCCAAGCAATACCGTGACGGGGAATGGCGGGCGAGACAAGGTCGCTAGGGCCATAATATCCAACTGGCACCGAACAACTCTGAACCACTTTATACACCAAAGTTGGTTCAAGAACGGAAGACGACTGAATTTTGCTGTTGGAAATATTGGGCTTTATATACCATGTTTGAGAACTGCTGACCGGAAATGGCAGATACTATCTTTGTTGTAACTGGTATATAAGAGCTGAAATGTTTGCAACTGTGGCTACCATGAAGCATGTCAGTACCATGGCGCAGATGTACGACAACACATTAGCGGTAATGTACGAGGCCGAGATTTTGCCTTTTGCAGGTTCCTATAGCCAACTGCAGTGGAGTTTGGCTGGAAATGTAAAGGCCAACGTGATAACGTTCAAGGGGAAGTTTGATTGGATGGAGATTGAAGGTCAACAGGAGAGCGATTAGTATTCATCCATCTCTTACCGATGGAGGCAAAGAAACTACACGAAGCGTTGACTCCGCGAAAGACATCCATCCGGCTGAAGTCCGTCGAAGGATTTAGCTGGGACATGGAAGTGGAAGCTACAACATACTGCTCAAAGTTATTGTTAAATCATCCAGAGATGGTGCTGGAGCTGCCTTTGTTGGCCCAAAAGAAGTTGTGTAACATTCTACAGGCGTATGAGCGCGAAATAAATGAAGCGTGTGCTGGCTAGCTGTTATTGATGGCAATATTGAATAAAGTCTATTTAAGGTGGTTGTTGTATATGGTACAGAAAAAACCATATCGTTAATCAGAGAATATCTTTACACTGCAAAACGAACGCCATATCGAACACAATGGACGCTACATCAGATATAATGTACAGAGCGGTGATTAAACCGTTAGACCAGGGAGAATGCAAAGCGAGCTGGCATTTGAAACGCGGTACAAAAGTTAATATCATAACGGGCAAGGGAGGCCGTTTTAAGCGATTGCAACTTGTGGACGAACAGGCAGGGGCGAGAGTTTCCTGGACGTTTGGTGCTGCAGAAGCATACGACATCCATGAATTATTAAAAAGTCCAAAATGGTTAAAAAATTTAAAGATACACAACCGGAATCACCTTGGACATTGGAAATAGAGTACGAACTGGATTGTTCAAGAATGGCATTAGTCAACGCTCATGGGTTCTCCATCCACTTTAAGAGTTACGACCAGTATATGCTGTATCATATACTGCACGGTTTCTTGGAAGAAATTAAGATAGCACTAGAGACCGATACGGCTGCGGGTGTAAAGTCTATTTAAGGCCTTAGGAGTTCAAGTTTCAGAGTATAAGGCAACGACCTGCAAGTTTCTAGAACGTCGTTTTTTTATTAAAAACAACCATGGAGTTCAAGACGATTGTTTTCCTCCTGTGTGCTCCATCGGTGTTCGGCGGTTTGGCAAGTGATAATTCAACCTTTAATAGTGACACTGAGATGTTTGTCAGGGACGTTGTGAAGGAAATTCACGGTAAAACAAATATAAAAACAGAGGGTCGTCTGAAAGTCAAATAAAAAAAAACAATTGTTTAGATTTGGCACCGGGTATGAACATCATGGTCGATGGCTGGTTATGCAAAATTCTCCACGTGGGGTATGAAGTCCCCAAGCCTAAGAAGCCAGAAGATTTTTTTCTAGTCTACCAGTTAACCCGAATTGTTCAAGCTGGTGGGAGCCACAGTTTTGAGAGGTCGCTATCGGCTTCCGCTACCCCGACCTGTGAACGGTGACTCTGACCTAGGCCTGTATGTTGGGAAAGTCATGCAGGTCGCACAGTACTGCTGTAAAATAGTATCGCGTCGGGCTGGTTATCAGTCATGGTGGGAAATGATCCTTGAACGGTATCGATCCTATAAAGGTGACCCTAACGCTACCATACCGATGGCCGGTATATAAACCGAGAAACATGCAAGCGGTTAGTACGGCAGTGTAAAAATGTCTGAAGTCAACGAAGACTACGATAGTGGTGGAGACTCTCTTCTGGTTGAAGATGGCGAATTGCAAGATTCTCCAGTAAGCTCAACAAGGTCTGTTCCACCGCAAGTACCGGACTCAGCTTCAGTACCAAGCGCTGAAACCGGAGCGTCACCAGCCACGCCAACTCCGCCACAACCACCGCTACGGCCAGAACCAGCAACTGCGTCGACTTCAGCGCCTGCGGCAGATAGGCCGTATCGTCTACCATTGGGCGCTTTGAGTGGATACACTTTGGTTTGGTTGGATCCCCCGGGAGCGCCTACCAGAAGAACGGACACAGCGACTCCTGGGCGTGCTGCAGCAGGCTATCGGCTGCAACATGAATTCAGACGGTTCGTATACCGTCTGCACTCGTTCAACACCGGAACTGGACACTGCGTACACCGTCAGCGGCGCGTTTTGCGAGAGCCGGCTTCTTTTACACGGGATTGCGTGACCTAGTGAAGTGTATTCATTGTGGACTAGAGTTAGAAAACTGGGAGCCGCATGACGACCCACAAGCTGAGCATGACTGGCATAGCGGAACGTCCTGCAGACCAGATCGCCCGCCGCAAGAAAACTGATGTTAAAACTGACGGTTTTGTTTTTTTTAAAAAAAAAAAAGAATATCGTTTTTTCGTATGTTTATTAGTTTATGGCAGAGCAGTGGTCTATTAAAGCGGAGAAGACTTAGTAAAAAAAAAACAAACAAATTGAACTTTGATAAGATTCATGTGAACATTAAAACAGTAGCAAGCGAAGTTCGGCTGCCGTACTACGCACAGCCAATTCCGACTTTGCACCCAAAATATTAACTTTACCAGAGGTAAAAATTACACAAGTTGCTTCCGGTAGATGGACGCTTAGACCAGGAAACAGTTCAGGTTCATAACACGGGCGGTAGCAGTGCAGCTTTTAAACACGTTATCTAGTTTCAATGGTCGATACATGTCCCAAGACGCTACTACATTAACTATTTCGAAGTCCGTAACGTACGCATCGGTATAGCCTAAAATGTGCATATCGTTACAATAGAGTTCGAGAAGCTCTTCAGCATTACGCTCGGTAACAGCTCCGTTTACTGTAATCCGACCATTGCTGTATAGTTGACAGTGACTTTTGTATGGACGCGTTCGGCGAATAGTAAGTCCTGAAAAAATGTTGGGATCGTACGGGATCTGGAGAAGGTCTGCGATATCTTGAAGATCAAAGCCACAATTCAGTTTACCAACTGCGACTATATTTTTATTGATGCCGCCATGACAGCAGTAATTCAAAACAATTTCGTGGAGCTGGAAAGTCAGCCAAAACTCGTAACTCCTTTTGGAATGATGATTTGCGGTCCTACAATGGTTGGAAAATCGTCTTTTGTCTTCCGCCTAATCGAGCAACGAAAAGAAATGATGACTTCGACTCCGAGAAGAGTGGTATATGCATACAATCAGTGGCAGAATGGATACGATGCTTTGAAAGTTCAGTGTCCAGAAACAGAGTTTGTGAAAGGACTGAGTGACCTTTTTTCGGACGAGGATTTTTTCGATAAAGAGGTGACAAATTTACTGATTGTGGATGATTTGGCACACGAGATGGCAAAAAATGAGCAGGCCAGTAATCTGTTCACGCAAGGAATTCACCATAAAAACCTGAGCGTTATTTATATTACCCAAAACCTGTACAAACAAGGAAAAGCGATGCGTGATATAACACTAAATTGTCAGTATATGGTGCTGTTTAAGAATGCTCGGGACCTCGGCCAGATCGATATCTTACAACGTCAAACAAAACTAAAGTGCCTTGCGCAAGCGTACGCGGCTTGCACGTCAGAAAACTATCAACCGCTCTTAATTGACCTTACCCCAGCTTGTCCATCTTATTTAAGGCTGCGATCGCATTTGTTTCCTAAAGAGACAATGAGAATTTATACTGATCATCTGCCATCACTGAGCCTAAAAAATGGCAAGTAAAGCGAAGGAGATTGCCCCGTTTTGCTTACCCTTAACCGGGCAAAGCCTAAGCAACGAAGAGCACTGTTGAAGCAGTGTTGCGATAAACACCATATAAGGGGTATTCAAGAGCTTGCCTTGAACCTTATTAAAGGACGAGTCCCCTTAAAGCCTCATCAGCTGACAGCGTGTAAAAAGTGCAAGACTCCCATAAAGCTTCTAGCATCTCCAAGTGTATCACTTCAAAAGAAAAAACGTATACTATTACAACGAGGAGGATTCTTACCCGCTCTATTACCATTACTAGCA